CGTAGCCCGGACCATGGAGGGGCAGAGCGGCCGCTGCAAGATCGTGGTGGTGGGGGACGCGGAGTGCGGCAAGACGGCGCTGCTGCAGGTGTTCGCCAAGGACGCCTATCCCGGGGTGAGGGACTCGGGGCTTGGGAGGGGAGCAGAGGGCGCGGGGGCGGGTGGCAGGGGCCCAGGGGATGAATGGAAACGGGTGCCGGGTTAACCAGAGGAGAGGGACTCAACAGACCATGCGAGGTACTGGGGGCTCTGGAAAGACTGCAGAGGATGAGGTGAGAAGAATTGGGGAGCAGGGTGAAATGGCATGGGGTTTGGGAGAATCAGGATCTCAGTAGGGGGTCCTGGGCATGGGGAGGGGAAGGACTAGAGGCCGAGAGGACCGAGATCGGGGCGGGGGGCGGGGGTGTCTTTGAACCTGGGCAGTGAGGCCCAGAAGCAGAAGAACCTGGGCTCTCCTTTTTGCCCAAGCCCAGGCCAACTTGGTTCCAGAGGTTGAGCTGGACCGGGTGTGGGAGTGGGAGGACATTTGTCTGGGGTGAAACTGGGGAGAGGACCTCATCTTGAACCATCCTTGTCTGCAGAGTTATGTCCCTACCGTGTTTGAGAACTACACCGCGAGCTTTGAGATAGACAAGCGCCGCATTGAGCTCAACATGTGGGACACTTCAGGTAGCAAAGTCCCTCAGGGTCACCCTGACTTCCAAGGCCCCCCCTTCCCTAATCTTTCCCTGGCTGGTCAGCCCAGCCCAGCCCATCCGTCCTATTCTAGGAAGGAGAATCAGGGTTCTGTTTAAAGCCAGGGAAACTGAGGCAGAGTTTGCTGAGACAGAGAGGGGCCCTGAAAGAAAAAGCTCGTGCTCTGAGCCCCTCAGAGTGGGTTCCTCAGCTGGATTCCCCCTGCCAGGAAAGTTCGAAAGGGGTTTGGGAACATATTTCTTAGGAGACACAGTTAGGCAAGGTTTAGGAGAGACATATAGAATTGGTTTGGGGGAGGAAGAGTAATGGGAGTGGGCGGTAAATTGAGCTAGAGAAATCTGAGATCAAGGCTAAAAAGCATGGACTAGCTCTTCTTTGCCCCTCCCCCAACAACAAGTAGGGGAGAGGGTTTTTTTATTAAAAAAAAAAGAGAGAGAAAGAAAACTGTGGAGTCCCCTGGAGGGCTGAAAATGTCTGTCAAAGCCCAGACATGCAAAACTATTGAGAATATCAATTGATTTAATGAGCTTTTCCAAGAGTCCAAGATTCAGAAAAGATGAATTTCTGCTTTTAGAGAACTCCCTAAGGAAGCAGAGACCTGGGTTCTGTCCCTGACAGGATGTTCTTCTTGTCCTCTGATCCCTTCCTCTGCCTGCTTACTTCCATTGCTTCTCCTAGGAGAAACTAAATGATCTAAATCAGTGGGTGTTCTGCTCCCCACAACCCTACACGAGGATTCCCAAGTTCTCCTGTCCTTCTGACCATCTAGGGACTCACTTCTGTCCCTCCCTCCTTTCTGTCCTTAAGGTTCCTCTTACTATGATAATGTCCGGCCTCTGGCCTATCCTGATTCAGATGCTGTGCTCATCTGCTTCGACATTAGCCGGCCAGAAACACTGGACAGTGTCCTCAAGAAGGTGGGAGCCTGGGGAGGGGAGAGGGGCACTGGGCACTAGAGTTCTGACAATGTGGGCATGGCCATCAGCTGGACAGTGTGTGGAGCTCTGAGCTCCCCTTTCCCAGGAAATAAGTCCCCAGAGCCAGATACAGCTTCTGGGAGGGGTCAGGGAAGACTCAGATTTCCTCCCTGCTCTCCCTGTCCTCCCAGCTCCTTGTGTGGGGGCTCCCTAGACACAGGAGGTGGGAACGCTGACTCCAGAGCTCAGGAAAGCCATGTTGCCTTCTCTCTAGGCCCCTATTTCCATGAGAAAAGCCCATGGTGAATGGACAGAAGTCAGCTAGGGCAGCCCCAGTTCCCAGGGAGGGGAGGAGAGGCCAGGGCAGGGCTGGTCTGTTCCCAGGCAAGAGTTCCCATGCACGTTTGGGGCTGTCTGACCCCTGCAGAGGGCTGAGGAAGAAGCAGAGCCCTCTACAACCTCACCCCATCCGTCTCCTTCTTCCCCTTCTCCACGCCCCTTTCTGCTTCCAGTGGGGCCTTCCAGTCCCATCTCCTCCTTCACATGGGAAAATCCAAGGGGTGGATGGTTTCTGCCTGCTAGGGGAAAGATGAACTCCTGGCACAGAGCATGAGTTCACCCTAGACGTGCTTCTATGCCTCCATAACACTCTCTTTTCCTCCTAAATAGTGGCAGGGGGAGACTCAGGAGTTTTGCCCCAATGCCAAAGTTGTACTAGTTGGCTGTAAGCTGGACATGCGGACGGACCTGGCCACACTGAGGGAGCTGTCAAAGCAGAGGCTTATCCCTGTTACACATGAGCAGGTGGGACCCTTGACCTCTGACCTGATCCCAGTCTCTGCCCCTTTCAATCTGTGATTTGAAAACATCCAACCTGGCTCCTTCCTTCCTGTGACTTCTGACCACTGAGCTTCAACCCATCCATGCTAACCCGCCGCTGGGGTGCTCCTCTCAGGGCTGTAGATCAAACAAAACCTGACACTCTCCCACCGACTTTTCTTCCAGGGCAGTGTGCTGGCCAAGCAGGTGGGGGCCGTGTCCTACGTGGAGTGCTCCTCCCGATCCTCCGAGCGCAGCGTCAGGGATGTTTTCCACGTGGCCACAGTGGCCTCCCTTGGCCGGGGCCATAGACAGCTGCGCCGCACAGATTCACGTCGGGGACTGCAGCGATCTGCTCAGCTGTCAGGACGGCCAGACCGGGGGCCTGAAGGCGAGATACACAAGGATCGAGCCAAGAGCTGCAACCTTATGTGAGGGGTGGGGCAGAGCTGAATGGGAGACGGTCACCAGGGGCACCACCTGGGTTTACTGACCTCCTGACCCTGGCTAGGAGTTCAGGACCCATTGGATGAGCTGTTCTGGGATGTGGGCTGGAGGGCAGAAGGGTGTCATCATCCCTTATATCCTTATCCTCCCTCCTCTGTACAAGAAGCTAAGGGGGCCATAGGGACTGGTATCTGAGGCATAAGCTAGGATGGGGCAGGCAGGAGCTGGGGAAGCTGACATCAAGCAGTGACCCTGGTATAGAATCTCAGTAAATGAAGAGTGCCTTCCCTTCCCACCCCGAGTTCCTATAGCCTGGTCCTAGGTTCCTTCTCTAAGGAAAGTGTGTGTCCTGTGACCTTCTCTGTCCCTCTCCTCTCATGTCTGCTGTTGTTCTTAAGCTCCCTAACCTCCAGGCAACATGCACTAAATTAAAAAGCAAGGAGCATCTCCTCTACCTGCCAGCCCTGGCTCCCTCCTCCTTTCTCCAGAAGTCGCCAATAAAGCCCATGTCCATGGAAAACGGCTGTGGCTTTAGTTTTGTTGTTGTATTTTTATTTATTAATTTATTTTTTTAAATAAACCAGTCTCTAGTAGCAGGAGGGAGAGTTAGACCTCAGGAAGAACTTTCTTGTCTCTGCCAACTGATGGAGCAGAGAAAAAAGCCATGGGTTCTTCCAGCTAAATCCTTTTAGGAGTCATAGGTGGGGAAATGAGATATCCTGGGAATGTTCATCTTAGTTAATGAAGCAGACAATCCTAAAGCCATTAGAGGGCCTCAGAGATTGATGTGCAATTATTCAAGGTTACTCAGCCCAGCTGGGGTCCCCTGCTAGCATGGTGGGGTCCTGCTGAAGAGGTCTTAGCCCACTGCTCACCATCTCCAACTCTGGCACAGAGCCTTCTGAGGCCCTGGGGTCATGGGGTGGCAGTGGGGTGAGGGACATCAAAGGCCCCTACATCACAGAAGCTGTGAAATTTCCTGAAGGAATAGGAGTTTGATTCTGGGCTCTCCTGGGAAGCTGGGACAGGGATTCCTCCTGTTTTTCTCCTCCTTATCCTGAGTTCTTTGAGGATTTTAGGGGACATATTAACTGTGAGCTTAGGGTCACCCTCACTCCTTAGAGAAGGAAAGCTGGCGGAGGGGACGGCCAGAGTGCTTGTTGTGGGGAAGGACAGTGCTGGTCTGTTTTCTCAGGAGTCTGGTTTCAGATTGTCCTGTATTCCCTCCCTGGCGCTAGTCCCACTGGCCTCTTTTTGGTGACATTCTCCCCAAGGAACCATCTCAGGCTTGCCCCTCCCCCAGTCTTCAGACTCAGCCAGTTCTTCCAGACACACTCTGGGAGGGAACAGTCCTTACCCCCCATCTGCTGGGATCCCACCCTAATTCACAGCTTACCCTCCTCCCCTCATTCATTCAACAAATATGCACTGAGGACCAACTGTGTGCCAGACGCTGGCTGGGGAGAGTGAAAGGACCCCACTCTGTGTTTCTGAGGGCAGCTCTGCAGGAAGAAGAGGTTCTCCAGGTTCCTTGATGAAAGGGTAGAAGTGGAGGGGGCTGTGGAGGTGCCTTGCAGAGTGGGAGGGAATCCCTTGGAGCCAGGTGGTGAGAGTGAAGAGCCAGGCAGGAAAGGCACTCCAGACAGAAGGTTCAGCATGTGGAAACCCAAGGAAAGGAGAAGGGTACGGTGCCCCTGGGAGTCAGGCAGGGCTGGGGTTCAGGCTGAGGAGGTCCACTGCAGAGCCCTCCAGGAACTGAGGGCTTTGTTAGGAGGCCGGAAGTAGCCACCAGGGATTTCAAGCCAGGGAAAGGAAGTGATCAGTCAGTCAGATGGGGTGTTGGAGGCTGGTGGACTTGGCTCTTGGATGTGTCATTTTAAATCGCTTCTCTCCCTATGCCAGGCCCCAGTTGTGAGAGGAAGGTAAATTCATACCCATTCCTTGGCCCAGCAGATGCCTTTTCCCCTCCCTCTTCCATTAGTCTCTTGTCCTGCCTGTTTCAAGGATTCCAGGGCAGTTCCAAGGGTGCTGGACCTTGAACTCGCCCTGCACTTCATCTGCCAACCTAGACCTGGTTACAGTGATGCTGAGAGGTCCTTTGAGACCGGAGCCTCCTGGTAAAGGGGCTCATGAGGAATAGGGCATAGCTGCATGCATCCACAGGACTGACCCTTTCCCTACAGGGACCTGTAAATACTACAGACTTTCAGGGGGTTCTTAGACAATCTGTGTGTTGTCTTCACTGCATTTCCTGGGTACCATGCCAGTTCAAGCCTGTAACTCCTCTGTTCTCCCAACCGTTCCCCCCTGCCAGTGCAATGCATTTCAGTATCTGCCTAAAGCAAAAATAATTAGGAAGATAAGTCAGCCAGAGGACCTCCCCCCCCCCCCAAGTTTAATACATTTCCAACACCACTGGGAACAAATTTTGGTCTCTTCTGTAAGTCTAGATGGTCAGATGTTTTACTAGGGGGAACCAGTGGGCGATATTCCTTGATCCTCAAAAGCCCCTACAGGCAGGAGGGAGATGACCTTATTCCCACCCCGCCCTCAGATAGATGTTGGAGTCAGACACAGCTTCCTCCTCTGCAGCTGTTTCCCCCACAAATTAGACACCCCTTTGGGAAACAATGTAGCCTCGTTAATCATTTAATGAAATAAACAACTAATCATGCTGTGATGCTGTCAGTGTTTCTTAACCTCTGCAATCAGCCAGCCGAGGAAGGAGGGGGAAGAACAAAGAGGAGGAGAGTTGGGGGTACTTGGGCTCCCTTGAAAGACGTCAGCTGACAGAGGGGCCTCCTGTATGGCTCCAACTCTAGGAAGTCATATGAAGCATTTGAAATTTAGGAGGCCAGGGTCCATGAGTTCAGGTCCTTGCTGGCTCTGTCACTTCCTCCTTGTGAAGCCTTTGGTGAGGGGCCTCTATTTGCCTGAACTCAGTTTTTTATACCTGGAAAAGGGACTGATACCACATCTAGGAAAATCCAGAAGAGAATCTATGTAGAACCAAATGCTGTTTGACCTTTGAAAGAAACAGAAATTTTGTCAGCCTTTTTTTCTTTATCATTTGGGCATCCAGGCCTGAGTGTTCCTTAACTGGCCCCCAGGGAACCAAGGGAGGCTTTTTGGAGAGGGATCCAAAAATGAGAGGAAGGCTAGAAAACATTAAGGGGAAATTACAATGTCCCCAAAAGCAGCCAGGGGACTAGAGAGCTTTAGTGACTCACCCAAAAGCTCATGTCCTTTGGCCCTTATCTTTATTAACAACTCCCCCCCCAAAAAAAACAACTCCCATTGCCTTTTCTGAAGTCTGGGGGTCAGGACCCCATGTTGCCATAGTGACCCCACCACAGATGCACTCAGACTTGGCTGATTCTTTGGGCTCAGGTTCTGTAGAATGAGGCGCTGGGATGTCCCTGAGATTACCTGTGGACACCTGGCCCCTGGCAGGCAATCCTGGGACAGCTCCTTCTCTTGGTCCCACTCTCTTTCTCACATGAAAGAGGTTCACTTCCTTTGAATAATTCCCTCTTTTTGATAATGGAATTTTTTTTCAATTTTTTATTTTATTTATTTTGTGTGCGTGTACCATCAAATCAGATCTGACTGGTACAGGAGGATATTGTGCCTCCTTCTCCCGCAGAGCGTCTGGTGGATTCGAACCGTGTTCCTCTGGGATTGCAGTGCAGTCTTTTTTATTTTTTCAAATTTTTTTTTATAATGGAATTTTTTGGTACAGTGCAGTCCTCCTCTGCCTCCTTCCCTCCTGCTGGGTTCCAGGTCTCCCTCCACCTTTACTCCATCTCCTGCTTCCTCTTGTCAAGGCTGGGATAGGAGAGCAGTGAGGCTTCCGGCCCAGAAGGGTATGTGGGGTGATTCCCAAGCAGCCACCCTCCTACAAGCCTGAGACAAGAGAGCTACATATATAATTACCCCTCCCCCCAAGAAAATGCCTCTGCTGTTGACTCCTAAATAACAGATGTCTGTCTGCATATTAATGAGATTGGACGAATAATTGGTGAGTTTTTCATTCAGTGTCAGAATGAACCCAGAGGCCTTATGTTCAAGCACACAGACACCCACTCACCCTAGACTTCCCTTCCCCCCAGAGTACAATGAAACAGACACAGACACTGGCAGGCTAGACCCACAAAGCAGACAGGGAACTGGGAGGGGATGTGAGCAGGAGGGAGACCCCTATGGTCTGGGTTTTGCTGTCCCCAAAGACCCCTGGGGACAAAAGCTTCTAAGAGTTTACCACCATATTAAGGGATTCAGTGGAGGGGGGGATCCAGAGGGGAGGAAAAGGCAGGGTTGGGAGTGGTGGGTGGTGGAAGCGGTGGAGATGGTGGTTAGTGGGTAGTGGAGGTGGCGGAGGCTGTTGATACCTGGTACCTAGGAGAGCCTTGCAAAGCACGGGTCTCCTTCAGAGAAGTTCTGTTTCCTTCGACTCAGACTCAGCAGATCGCTTAGCCTGTCCCTGGGACAGGGTGTACATGATAGAAGGATAGAAGTTTTGGAGGCACAGTCCCATTTGCCAGCTGGACACTCTTGCTCAAGTTACCCTGAGAACCTTGCAAGGTTGAAGGCCAGAGAATGAAATTGAGCATCTCCTGTATCTGGCTGTTGTATACTGTTGAGTCGGAATGGACCCACAGCTGACCATCCACAGGTTTTCAGAGCAGTTAATCACATGGGAGGAGAATGCCCCTTCTATTCCCACAGAGAAGTTGGTGGATTCGAACCTTATGCCTTCGGGCTTGCAGTGCAGCTTCTTGCTGCACCAGTGCTCCCTCTCCTTTATCTTAGTGCCCCGTTTATAACAGGCCTCAGCACATATTAATCCCTACCCTGGCTAACCCCCAAACACACTGAGGTTTCCAAATTGCTACCTCTTGCCACACGCACCCCCTATTAGGGCAAGGATTAATTAAAAGTTTAGTAATAATTATCCTGACTGTCGGGAAACTGGGAGGAAAAGATGGGCAGGGGCTAGAAG